TTTCCCTACCAAAAAACCCCAAAATACAACACTGTTCCTCCTTATATATCCCTTTCTACCCTGGGTATATCAGCATCTACTAATCATTTCCACCAATAATATGGTAGCCAATTTTGACTCTTCCTTCCTCTCACAGTGCCCTCCACCCTTGACCCCTTTATATTAATGCTTGCTATCTCCATTCCTACGTCATCAATTAAAACCCTAGACTATGCCAATGGTTTCCCCTTTCACCTAACAACTTTACTGACATACAATTTATAGAATATAAACATCACCTGTTTTAAGCATATAATTAAATAATTTTTAATAAACTTACAGAGCTGTGCAATAATCACGGCTATCCGATTTTAGATAACTGTCCCTGATAACCAGTACTCTTTCTTTTTGTCTCTATAGATTTGTCTTTTGGACCATTTCCAACAAAAAGAAGCATATAATATATGATCTTTTGTGACTGAATCTTATGTTTTTGAAAGTCACTCTTGCTGTACTGTGTATCAATACTTTATTCCTTTTTATTGCTGCATAGCACCATATAAACATACAAGTTGAATATCCCTTATTCAAAATGCTTAGGACCAAAAGTATTTCAAATTTCAGATTTTTCCAGATTTTGGAGTATCTGTGTACATACAGATATCTTGCAGATAGACCTAAATCTAATCAGGAAATTCATCTGTGTTTCATATACACCTTATATAAATAGTCTGAAAGTAATTTCACCCTTTCTTTTCCCCCCTGATTGCTACAGCTCACTGGAGAGGGATGGCGGTAGGGAGGGTAAGAAAGCACCCCCGGAAGGGATGGCCATGATATAATCTCTTCTCCTCCATTGTCCTCTCAGGATTTTGGGCACACACGCACATGTGCCCGGCATGTTTTTCAAGCCACCAAATATAGGACACAAATCACACAGTCAGCCATGTGGGATCCAACACTAACCACCACATCATTAGCTGTCTTTCATTCAATATTTCAGTACTGCGGCATTTTGTACATGAGGTTAATTGTGAAATACTCATTTGCAGGGTCTTATGGGGTCACGTCAGCACTGAAAATGCTTGGAATTTGAGAGCATATCGGGTGTTCAGATTTTGGGATTAGGAATGCTCCTACGTTTTCCTTACCAACTTCCCAGTTGATGGACACCTGGGTTGTTTCCAGTTTGGGTTGTTATGAATAATGCTCCCTATGAACATATATGTACACATCTTCATGTGGCCATGTATTTTCATTTCTCTTGGGTAGACTCCTATTAGCAAAATAACTAGGTTGAAGAGCAAATCTATATTTAACTTTTTAGAAACTGCCAAACTGTTTGCCAACCTGGCTCTAGCAGTTTTTAAACTTATTTCTCCTCAGCTTACCCATACTGAGACCATGTTAGTTCCTGCTGTCAAAGCAATTTGACCAATTCACTGTATCCTTAAATCCTTCAATGACTTCTACTACCTCTGACAATGCTTCTCAAACTTTACTGAACTTAAGAAACCACTTGAATAGTCTGTTAACATGCAGATGTCTTGGCCTTCATATTCTAAGAGAATCTAATTCACTAGGTCTAAGCTGATGCAGGTAATAGGCACAAACATTTTGAAAACCACTGATCTGGGGACCAGCAGGTGGTGTGGTGGTTAAGGCACTGAACACTCCCACATGGCCAACCACAGTTCGAGTCCTGGACCTGGTGGCTTATGCACTCACTCTCTCTCTCTCTCTCTGGTCAAATTAAAATAAATGAATGAATAAATAAAAATTAAATATATCATTCTTAAAAAAAAAAAAAAGAAAGAAAAGAAAACCACTGATCTATAGGATAAAGTCCAAGGTCCGTAGGGATGGCACTGATTCATTCAAACATTTACTGAAAACTTGTTTATACCAGACATGGTTCTAGGGACTGGAGTAGCACTATAAACAAGATATTCATAGCACTTAGGAGTATAACCTAAATAATGATGGGACAGACCATACACATACCTACCCTCAAAACACATAATGGCAGATGCTACCAGAGCCTTCATTATATAGGTGGTCAGATTAGGTTAGGAGGCAGGGAGGTCTGTTCATACTTTCAATGTCCTGGACTCAACTCATTCCTTGAACCCTATATTCCCACCATCCTGTCTATCTTAGCAATATCAAATAGTTTAAAGTTCTTCTAGGAGGTCTCTCTTCTCTGTGCTCTGAATCAACAAAGGGCTGTAAGTTGAAACAAGCCATATTTGCTCATTCTGTGGTTAACAACGAGTTTGCATATAAACTTTAAATTCCTAATAACTTTCTATTTTTTCTGAGAGGTTTTTGCTATAGGGCATGTGCACTTGCCAGAAAGACAGAGATAGATAGAAAGCGAGAAATCACCCCCCTATGGGGGATGGCCATGCTGCAATCTCTTCTCCTCCATTCTCCTCTCAGGATCTTGGACATGCATGCACACACGCCCAGCATTAGTTTAAGCCACTGGGTCTGGGACTCGAACCGCGGTTGACTACATGGGAGTCCAGTGACATAGCCATTACGCCAACTGCTGGTCCCCCAATAACTTTTAGAGAGTACCAGTATTATATGTGAATAAAAAATAAAACTTCTTCATATCTAATACCTAAATCCTTTAAAAACAGAAAACAATCACTAATCAAGACAGACTCCTGCAAGAAAAACTTTACTAAGAAATCCTTCATTTCTATAAATATGTACTTTCGCAGAAGGTAAAATTTTCAAATATCTTTGAGAATTTACGTATCAGTATCAGAAAGTAAGATAAGCTTGTGCTTCAAAGTACATTGCTTTCACAGGATCAGCAGCCTTAAAGGAACAGCACCTAGTGGCTCTCGGTCAGGGTACACTAGGCTTCACTAGCAAGTCCATGTCTGCAGCTTACCTCTTTTTATTCTTGCTTCCTTAATTTCTTCACAGAGTTTATTAAATTCTGGATCCAGTTCAGCGGCAATGATGGCATGTGCAGTGTCCTTCAGGGTGCAAGCTCGGTGCCTAATTATTTTATCTGTTAAGAAAGTGGGCATAAACTTATTAAACATATAATACCTTTAACCAGGAACATCTTTAAAAGAGAAAGAAAAGAACCCAAACATTTAAATAAAACTCTAAAAAGTATTTTTAGATGAGAAAATATTCATTTAAATGATAGGTTACAAATAAGTATAATAAATTACTAAATCAGATTAGTAATTCTCTTAGTATTTTACTTTTTAGAAACTCAAAGCATAAGCAAATTTGACAAATCATCACCTCAAAAACATACAGTTTTATTTTTAAAAATTTTTAAAAAGAGACCAGCAGATGGTATAATGGTTGCGTTGCTGGATTCCCACACAGTCAACTGCAGTTCAAGTCCTGGACCTGGGGACTTAAAACTCACGCCCAGCATGTGTGCATTCGTGCACCAAATCCCAAGAGCAGAATGGAGAAGGGACTACGGCATGGCCATTCCCACTGGGGCAGGGGGTGATTTCTCGCTTTCTGTCTTTCCATCTCTGTCTGTCTCTCTGGTGAGCACACACAGCCTATAGCAAAATCTCTCTCAAAAAATACATTTTAAGGGACCAGCAGTTAGCGTAATGGCTATGTTGCTGGACTCCCACGTAGTTGACCACGGTTCGAGTCCCGGACCCAGTGGCTTAAACTCACGCGGGGCGTGTGTGCGTGCATGCCCAAGATCCCAAGAGGAGAATGGAGGAGAAGGGATTGTGGCGTGGCCATCCCCCCTGGGGAGTGATTTCTCGCTTTCTGTCTCTATGTCTCTTTCTGTCTTTCTGGCGAGCACACGCACCCTATAGCAAAACACTCTCAGAAAAACAAACAAACAAATACATTTTTTTTGGAAGAGTTTTTTTTTTTGCTATAGGGCGTGTGTGCTCGCCAGACAGACAGAGAGAGACAGAGAGACAGAAAGCGAGAAATCACTCCCCAGGGGGGATGGCCACGCCACAATCCCTTCTCCTCCATTCTCTCGGGATCTTGGGCACGCACGCACACGTGCCCGGCGTGAGTTTAAGCCACCAGGTCCGGGACTCGAACCGCGGTCGACTATGTGGGAGTCCAGTGACATAGCCATTACGCTAACTGCTGGTCCCCCAAAAATACATTTTAAAAATTTTAAAAATGTGATTTTCAATAAAGATTTTAAAAGAATTAAGAGGATAATCACCAAATGCCCAACCCCAAGTTGTCATAGACGGATAATGAAAATCCATAAAATCTTAATTTTCTCTGTAAGTTAAAGCTGGCCAAAAATGCTAAACAATATGCTATATCCTAAGTAAGGGTGACCACTTAAAAAGAAAAAAGTAACAGAAACGAATACAGAAAAACTCTAAGTTGAAGAGTACAAGATAGTATATAAATTGTAGTAGATCAATAAGAGAAGCGCAAACACAATTCTAGGTAAACTGTACCTAGATATGATACTGTAAGAGCCTGTTTCACACTGCATTCATAACAATACAATAAACAGTGCCTCCCACAGCTGTGCAAACCAGAGATTTCAAAGGCACGTAAATATGTCAAAGTGACTTATTTTGTAACAGTTCAAGAACAAGAATCCCAAGTCACAAAATAATATCTGCTTTTTCTTGTCTAGGAAAGGAAAAAATATATAAATAAAGAGATCTTTTATTCATAACTTTTCTCATTAGAAAGTTTAAATTTCTACTGTGGAAATCTTACAAAGACAAACATGTACCACCCAAAACCTACCACTGGTATATAGCTGACCCTTGAACAACATGGGTTTGAACGTCACAGGTGCACATACATGTAGATTTTTTTTCAATATATTGTAAAATACGGTACAATACAATGACTTTCTCTTCCTTATAGTTTTTTTTAAAGAATTATTTAACTTTATTATTTTTAATTTGATCAGAGAGGGACAGAGCAAGAGAGAAAGAGAGGGAAAGTAAGAGAGCAAGTTACCAGGTCTGGGATGCGAGTCTCAGTTGGCCATGTAGAAGTCCAGTGCCCTTAGCCACCATGCCGCTTGCCGACCCAAAGTTTTCTTTTCTTTTTTTCTTTTTAAAGAATTATTTAATTTTGGGGTCAGCAGGTGGCGTGGTGGCTAAGGGCACTGGACTTCTACATGGCCAACTGAGACTCGCATCCCAGACCTGGTAACTTGCTCTCTTACTTTCCCTCTCTTTCTCTCTTGCTCTGTCCCTCTCTGATCAAATTAAAATAAGTAAATAAAAAGTCAAATAATATCATTCTTTTTTAAAAAAAGAAGTATTTACTTTTATCAATTATTATCATTACTTAATTTGACCAGAGAGAGGGTAAGTGAGAAAGCAAGTCGTCAGATATGAGATTCAAACCATGGTCTGCCATGTAGGAGTCCAGTGCCTTAACAAGGCCCCATCTTATAACTTTTTTTTTTTTAAGATGAATTTTTGCTATAGGGTACATATGCTTTCCAGAGAGACAGAGAGAGACAGAAAGTGAGAAATCACTCCCTGAGGGGATGACCACGTTGCAATCCCTTCTCCATTCTCCTCAGGATGTTGGGCAGACATGCAAGCTGCTGAGTCTAGGACTCGAACCATAGTCAACTACATGGGAGTCCAGCGATGTAACCACTACGTCATCACTGGTCCCATCTTATAACTTTCTTTTTTTTTTGGAGAGATTTTCACTGTAGGGCGTGTGCGCTCGCCAGACAGACAGAGAGAGACATAGAGACAGAAAGCGAGAAATCACCCCCCAGGGGGAATGGCCATGCCGCAATCCCTTCTCCTCCATTCTCCTCTCGGGATCTTGGGCACACACGCACACGCGCCCGGCGTGAGTTTTAAGCCACCGGGTCCGGGACACGAACCGCGGTCGACTACGTGGGAGTCCAGCGACAAAGCCATTACACTAACTGCTGGTTCCCCCATCTTATAACTTTCTTAATAACATTTTTTCCTAGCTTACTTTGTTGTAAGAATACAGTATATAATATATATAAAATACTGGTTTATCAGAAAAATAATGACGTATTTTTCTGTTTTCTATGTTATTCGATTCTTTGTTACTGGTAAAGATTCCAGTCAATACTAGGCAATTTGCAGTTGAAGTTTTGGAATGTCATAAGTTTTATGCATATTTTTGACTGCACAGACACTGCATCTAATGGATGTTAGGTTTTGTCAAAGGCTTTTCTGTTGAGATAATCGTAGGCATTTTTCTGCTAGTCTTTTAATACAGTGAATTACACTGATCAGCTTTCAAATGTTCAACCAATCTTTTTTTTGTGTGTGAGAGGTTTTCACTATAGGGCGCGTGCGCTCGCCAGACAGACAGAGAGAGACATAGAGACAGAAAGCGAGGAATCACCCCCCAGGGGAGATGGTCATGCCACAATCCCTTCTCCTCCATTCTCCTCTCAGGATTTTGGGCACGCACGCACGCACACGCACCCGGCCTGAGTTTTAAGCCACCGGGTCCGGGATGCGAACCGCGGTCGACTACGTGGGAGTCCAGCGACATAGCTCTTACGCTAACTGCTGGTTCCCAGATGTTCAACCAATCTTGAATTCTTAGGATAAATCCTCATCGACAATAATGAATTATCCTTTTAACAGACTGTTGGATATAATTTGCTAAAATTTTGCTCATGTTCTCATAAGATATTACTCTGTAGTTTGTTCTGTTCTTCGTAATTTCCTTTACTGGTTTTGGTATCAGGTTAATGTTAACCTTATAGAATAGGCTTTAATTTTAATCCACCTCACTTTTCTGGATGAATTTGTGTAGAATTGATTAACTCTTCCCTAAATGTTCAGTGAAATTACAGAGTGAAGTCACTTGGGCCTGAAGTTTTCTTAATGGGAAGGATTCAATTACAAATCCAATCATTTTAATTGATAAGAATGCATTCTCTATTAATATTAACCATTTCTTTTTTTATGAACTCAGATATGTATCTTTCAAAGAATTCATTCAATTTACCTAATTTGTCAAATTTATTGGCATAGTTATTCATATTTTTCAAATATCTATAGTATATATGTATACACAAAATATGTATGTATATATATATATATATAGAGAGAGAGAGAGAGAGAATATCTCCCTTATTCCTGTTATTGGCAATTTTTGTATTCTCTCTTGTTACCCTGGGTCATTTCAATAGAGGTTTATCAATCTTTTCAATTAAGAAGCTTTAGGTTTCATTGGTTTTTTTTTTCCCCTTCCCTTTTTTCCCCTCCCTATTTTCTGTTTCATTGACTTGAGCTCAAGATCTTTATTATTCAATTTTCATTTTGAGGGGAAGCTGAAGTTACTGACTTAAGACATTTCTTCTTTTCTAATTTAGATAGTTCATGCTAAAATTTTCCCTTAAGTACAGCTTTAGCTGCATCTGAAATGTGAGAGCTTTCATTTTATTTGCTGTGAAAACTTGTAAACATCTCCTCTGATATCTTCTCTGACCCAAGGATGGCTTGGAAGTTGGTATTCAGTTTCTAAACCTGTTCTTCCTAATAGCTTTCTGTTACTGACTTCTAATTTCAGTCCACTGTGGTCAGAGAGCATGCTTTGTATAACGTGAATCCTTTATATGTTTAATAAGACTTGTGTTATGGCCCAGAATACAGTTTGTCATGGTAAGTATTCCAGTAGACTTGAATGTGCCTATTTGCTGTTTTTGGGTACAGCATTCTATATATAACATTTAGGTCAAGCCGGCTGACAGGGTTGTTCTAGTCTTCATCTTTTTTTCCTCTTTGCTCTTTTACTTATGTTGTTTTTGTTTTTTCAGTTTTCACTATAAGGGTGTATGCACTCACCATGGAGAAAGAATGTGTGAAAGTAAGGAATCACCCCCTGGAGGGATAGCCATGCCACAGTCCCTTCTCTTTCATTCTCCTCTTGGGATTTTTGGCAAACATGCAAGCACTGGATGCATTTCTCAAGCCACAGAGTCCAAGACTTGAACCATGTAGTCAGTCATGTGGGGTCCAGCCCCCTTAACCACACCACCACCAACTGGTCCAAGTCTTCTATATA